GTTTTAAGAATTCATTTAATTTTTCAGTAAATCAAGTCATTTTTAATAGCTTGTAGGAATCAGTTCGACTAACTTGTTAATTTGCTCTATTAGATACAGAGAAGCTATGAATAGGATAAGCTATCCTTAAAGAATTTACAGTCTGTGGTAGATTATATGAATCTTTAATGATATGTAGGCTTGGAAGAAGCTACATTTTTTTCTTCTGTCACTTTGGCAGGGAAGTGGCAGTTGTAAATATGGATCAACAGATGTATCAAATTTACTATGAAGTATATTTGTAAGGTAAGAGTAAGGAAATCTTTTAGCCTATAATATAAAATATGAGGTATTAAAAGTCTAATTTGCTCAGTTACATATTTGAAATATGCTATTAATAGAAATGTAAAAAATGAAAGTTATTTCTTCTATAACTTATAGTTTGTTAGACAATTTTTCTAGTAGACGAAATATGTGTATATCAGAGGGAACTTAACAAAAGAATTGAACTACTTTTCTTGGATTAACAATCGGAAAGAACTATGTTCTTTATGTAATATTTTTGAGAGTTTACTATTCCTGGTTTCTGAAAAGTAATTGCAGAATTGAATTTCTCATCTTAAGGAATATCAGTATTGCTTTGAAAAACAATATTGTAGTAGTAAAGGCATTATATTCCAGAATTACCTGGAATAATATTAATAATGCTTTATATTTCAAAGTTGACAGAATTTAGTTGGTATGATTGTCAGATATTTTATGACAAGGTAGAATTAGAACTTCATTTTATGCTGTTGTTTGTTGGACCAAAGAATACTTAGTAAAATAATGTACACAGCATAAAGTTCTCTGATAGGAGCAGAGATTTCATGTAGAGGAGTTGTAGATAATAGTGGTGTAGCTATTGATTATACCTTTTTTGGGGGGGGGCAAACTGTATTGACAGTGCTGGATATTAATTTAAATGTGAGTACAAAATGTTTATAAAACCAGCATTAATCTTTCATAGAAACATGCTGATCAACAGCAGATACAATCAGAAAAGCGAAGCACTAGAACAAAATACAGGAATGAGATGAAGGATGCTAGACATATGGTGTTGGGAACTAATTTAGATATTGAATGTTCTTGTGGTAAAGAAACCAAAATTGGGAAGAGCTAATGAAAAGATGAAAACTTTATAGTCTGGGTGTTTGATTCATTTAGGATATATTTCTTACCTTTTATAAGCCTGAGTTCATGGTTCTATGAATTAAGGATAATAAGTCAAAGCTAATTGGGTAATTGATCTATGTGAGCTAGTAATCGGTGCTCTTATGTGGTTGGAAAGTAAAATATAGTGGTAGTTTTAGTAAAGATTAATTGTTTCCTGTTGGATTTTAAATGATATGTAGATTAAAAATGTTTGGTAAAAGAGCACCAATATTGAAGTGAGGATTAATACTGGCAATAGGAGTAAAAAGATGTAACTATACTGGTCATTTTTGCAAATGAGGTAATTGAGGGAAATGGCTGAAGCCATGAAAATCAGTTCAATCTTTAAAGAGAAAATACCTTGAAGAAGAAAAACAGGGTTAAAATGAATTAGGCAATTTCTGTATTGGCGGAATAAATGGGGGTGAATACTTAAAATACAGAAAAGTTAATAAGGAGACATTAAGAAAGTCAAGACAACACATTATTACACATTAGAAACCATGAAAGAAAAGAGCTTCCTGGGAGGTTATACTGAAAGTGTCATTGCACCAGGCAGTGGTGGCACCACATCTTTAATCCCAGCACTCAGGAGACAGAGACAGGCAGATCTTTTGTGAATTCAAAGCCAGACTGGTTTACAGAGTGAGTTCTAGGACAGTCAGGGCTACACAGAGAAACCCTGTCTTGAAAACCAAAACAAACAAAAAGCGTCATTTACAACAGGGCACCGAGAGAATGGAATGAAGGGCAGACTTAGAAGAGGACATACTTAGTAATTTTTTGAAAATTATAGGAATGAATTAAACCGCAAAAGAGACCTCCAAGACGACTTTCTACAGTATTGCTTCTCAATTGTGGTTTAATAATAGTACAAACAGACTTCTGTCAATGCATTTTTTAAGTTTTATTCTTAAAAATCACAATAAAAATGCAAAAAGTAAATTAAGACACTGAATCCCTGGTTCATCTGACTTAAAAAAGAAAGAAAAAGAAAATCCCCTCTTGCTTGATCTTGCTCTAGCTTACTTCCCAGGATTTTCCTCTTTGCAGTTAAAGTTCTTAGGAGTTGTCTGTGCTTACTCTCTTTATATCCACACAGTTTTTCTCCCATTAAACTGCTCTTACTAAATCTATTAATGATTCATGTCATTATTTCCAATGCACTTGTGTAGTCTTCATCCTACTTGACTCTCAGAAACTTAATATAATTATGTTCAAACCCTTTCTTTCTTTGGCTTCCATTGCATCAGAAATAGTAACAATAATAATTGTTATTTTACTGTTTTAAGACTAGTTGGATGCCAATGAAATGTCTTAGGCATATTAAGACTAGTGTGCCCATTGAACTAAAAGGCAAAGAAAAGAATACATATATATATATATATATATGGTCAATTATAAAGCTACTGTCATCTAATGTCTAAGGCAGAGAATAGTACTTGTTTAAACCAGAATTGTGAATTGTGGCAATTTGGAAAGAATTTAACAGATATAAATTTCAGTAATGTCAATAGGCATTTTTTTTTTTTTTTTTTGTGGATTCAATATAGTTAGTTGAGAAAACAGGATTTATATACTCTGACACTGTTAGGTAAGATGAGATGCCTAGGAATTATGAGACTATGGAAAGGAAGACATTGCCATTTTTAGTTTCAGGAGCCCATAAGATTCTGAGTAAAATATCAAAGGAGAGTTTGGTTATACCCCAAAGAATCTACAGATAACAAAAATTTTATTGGTTATTAAGAATCAGTACTTTGGAAACTATGTAGAAAAGAGTGACAAATGACAAAGTTAAATGACTTCCATTCTTTACATAGGGTGAGTTGTCAAAGATGGTTGAAAGTCTTGGAATAAAAATATTTTAGAAAAGTTTCAGTTGCAACCATTTTTGTATCTCTTTCAAATACATCACTTATCTTGCTTCATGACAATTACCTGACTGGGTTCATGTACCTAATTTTAGTGGGAGATTCAACAAATACATTGTTTATGGGTTCTGATAACAAATATTTAGACTTTGAGAACCATTCCATCTCTCAGGACTGTTAAATTCTGTTGTTGCAGCTCAGTAGCTACTGTGTGGTGGCTACAATATAAAGCTTGATATTTTTTTGTTACTGCAGTTTATGGCAGAATTTACTTTTGAAGTGTTTTTCATCCTTTTAAAGTTTGAAAACTACATGGCTGTGAGTTAACATGAAATCAGAATTGTTTGGGTCTAGCCTACAAGCTATAATTTATTGAACCCTTTCCTCTAACAAACCGTGGTGTTTGAACTATAAAACTCTGTACTTTGTTGGTTGGTATTGAGACTGATGTTCTTTTGCTCAGGTCCACCTTCAATCATCTTCACCCCAGTAGTGTTAGGATTTCATGCATGAGCTCAGCTCTCACTTAGTACATTTTCATTTAATGGTGAATAAAATCATGCTGAGCTTACAGTGTACTTCTTGCAGATGCCTCTTCAAACACTGAAAGCAAGAATTGAGATTTTGTGTTTATACTTCAAAATTTGCTAAATGTTAGTATAGGTTTTCATATACAGAAGTCTGTTTCAAAACTGTCTGAGGATAACATTTTGTTTGGGTTGTAGGGAGGATTCATAGAATTTTAGGTGTGTTTTTTTTTTTTTTTTCATTTATAATTTCTAAAATCACACCCACAGGTTATAAAGCAGACCTTTGTACTTTTGATATTAATGCTTGTCTTTAAGAATTTCTTCATTTATTCTTAGTCATCTGAGAACACATCCGATATATGAAACATGGGTTCCACAGTTACGTTTTTAGACTTTAGCATGAAAGACAAAAACTTAGGTATATGATAAGAATATATGGCATGAAGGAATTAACTGGGATAAGTTTACTATGAAAGAAGGACAAGGATAGTTGAGTTGGCAAGAGAATGTATCTCTTAGAAATATCGTTTATGCAGAGACTTAAGCTCCAAGTAGAGTTGTATAGGAGAGAAGTTCCTAGGTAGAGGGATGTGATTGCCTTGCATTCCATGAGAGCACTATACTTCCTAGAATCTGAAAGGTTGTTTTAGGTATAATTTGGTAAATCTGTACCAAGTAACTTGGAAAAACTGGATAATGCAGAGATTAATGTATCTTGGCTTAAGAATGAAGATCACAGTGGACTAATTTTAAAAACTTTATTCCTCTCCTGTATGCTCCACCTTTACGGAAAACCTCACATGAAAAATTTCCATGATATTGTGTAAAAACATTAGAAATAATTATTATACTCAAGGACTTTGGAGCATGAAGCCTCATATATGGAAACAATAAGAAGGAAATGATTGCTACATGAGTATGTTCATTAAGTCAACAATATAAAAACATGACAAACAGAAATATCACCATGAGAGATCTCAAACGTGAGAAAAAATGTTCACAGAATTTGTCAAGGGAAGAAGATAGAACAAATTGGAGGTGGGAAAAGTGATAGAAGTAGCAAAATTAGAGTTGGAATAAAAGTCCTGCTCTGTAAAAGTAAAGGAAGATAATAGGAAGAAATTAAAGGAGAAGAGAACAATAATAGCATCAAGAATCTTTTCTAACAGCATTATATTTGAGTACAACCTTAGAAACCTTTTCATCTTGGAATAAATGTTAAGTTTTCATAACCTACCAGTGAGATCTGAATCAAAATTATTTCTGTATCTTCAAAATCGATTGCATGATTTTTTACATGCCAAACTCAGTTACATACTGTTATTAAATTTTAGTATCTAAAGTAATTACAAATACTTGTTTTAAATAAAATGTGTATAACTTGTAGTATGTTGTGTTTATTTACTCAAAATATTCTTTTAAGTGTTTCAGGCTGCATGTACCAAGTAGTTCAGATGGTTGGCACGGATGGAAAAAATCTTCTGCAATTACTTCCAATTCCTAAATCTTCTGGAAATCTTACTTCAGTAGTTCAATCTCCAGTGGTATCTGATGTTTTGAAAGGGAATACAGGAAAACCAGTTCAAGTTACTTTTCAAGCTCAGATTTCCAGCTCTTCCACAAGTGCATCCATTCAATTGCCCATTTTTCAACCAGCCGATACTACAAAATATTTTCTTACAAAAACAGTAGATACATCAGGAAAAGGTAGTGTTACTCCTATGGGGACTGGAAGTTTTATGCCACCAGTTTCTAAAGTTGAAAGTCGTGGTGTGAAAATCGATGAACTCAATATGCAAACATTTGCTGTTCCTCCCTCAACACAAAATGATTCATCTCACTTTGTAGTCAACACCCCAAGTCTTCCAGTGAATGTGAATTCTTCAGTTTTGCCTTCTGGGCCTCATTTACAGATTCCAGTCCATGCTGAAGCGAAATCTATACCTGAATCAACCTTGCCTTCCTCAGTTCAGCAAAGTATACATGCAACTTCAACTAGAAGTCTTTCAGGAACAGTTGAGACTTCCCAAATACCAGCAGTTATTTATGTATCTCCTGTAAATGAAGTGACAAATAGAGTTACTAAGAGCTTTCAGAATATTTACCCCAAACCAATGATATTAAATACCTCGAAAGTTCCACCAAATGTTGCTACAGAGACACAGATAAAAAGTGGTCACCTTTCTGAAACTGCTCAAGTGAAAATAATTTTTCAAGATACTCTGCAGCCTTGTATTCCATTCCTTGTTCCTATTAAATCATCAAATAATGTGGCTTCAAAGATTTCAAAAACGTTTATAGGTAGGAAAAATTTGGGAGATAATACTGTAAATACATCTCTGTTGAATACCATCAGTTCTAATGGGACACAATCCATGAGTGTGCCCATTAAAGATAATGCTTTGGTAATGCTTAATGGGAAAGTCTATCTGTTGACTAAAGAGGAGACACATGGTGTGCCATCACAAAATGACCAACCAAATTCTGTTTCTTCTGATAATCTACCAAGAAAAGATTCACAGGTAGTAAGTTCAAGTCCAGGCACAGAAATCTTCAAAGAGTTAAATAGTGCTTTGATTCAAAGTAAATCTTCCCAGTTGGAGACAAAATCACTTTCAAATTCTCAGCTTGCTTCCATGGCCAGTCTAAGAGCAGAGAAGACCGAATCAGTGGAGAGACCATCCTTTTCTTTGGCAAACCCACATACTGTGAACCAATGCAGTAACTACCTTAAACAGAGTAAGACTGTATTTACAAACCCAGTTTTTCCAGATGGATTTAGGACAGTTCAGAATGCCCCCAGAAAAGGAAATCTCATCCAAAGCATAGAGAAAATATGTTCCTCTGTTGATGCAGCAACTGTTACTTCACAACAGTGTGTTTTCAGAGACCAAGAATTACAGGTAATTTTCCATGCCAGGGAATTCTTTTTATATATGTCTCTGGAAAATACTTGTCAAAATTGTCTGATACCTGTCTACTGCACACATACCTCATCATATGTGCTTGCTTAAAGCTTTTATCTGAAGAAATACTTGAGGATGCAATTGGTAGAGTCTAAGCAGTATCTTTCTCTTTAACTTTGCAAATCTGTAAGACAAAATGACAGAATGAAGTTCAGAAGAGTCAGAGAGTGATATGTCTTCTAAGATTGTGTGAATATGCATACATGTATATACGGAATATACATTTATAGCCTATGTTTAGTATATGAAAAGATAAACTTTATGTAAGAGGGACATGGTTTAAAGACTGGAAACTTTAGGGTGGGACTTTAAATTTTTTTCTTGCTTTGTTTTTTTATGTTTATGTTTTTTTAAGTACCATTTAATAGATGGAATAGAATTAATCAGAACCTTTAAGACATGTATTTTCTTTTAGGCCTTTCTGACTCCTAATTGCATAACACTTCTGTCAGCTACCATTCTCTTCTTAAAATACATGTATAATCACTTTCCTTGCTTGCTCGCTTTCTTGCTTAGTGATGTTAGTGTCTGTCCCCTTGAATATGGTAATCACTGAATTTTAAAGACAGATACATTTTTAATAAAAATGGAATTGGTGAAGACATTAAACTTTTTACAGAAGACTGTGGCCTTTAGATATTGTTCTGTAAATTACTTCTTTGTCTTGATTTACATTGTTTATCAGTGTCTCAATATGTAACTCAGACTGGCCTTGAATTCACTATCGTCCTGCCTCTGCCTCCTGAGTGCTTGGATTACAGGACACCATGCTTGGCCTAGATTATTTTAAAGTTATCATATATGGTCTCTCATATACTTGAGAATAGATCCTTTGTTATTTTTCTGTACAATAAAATGAGTAATTGTGTGGATAGTTTACGGTTGTATTAATTTAAATTCAGTTTTTTAATGCGTGGTAAAAAATAAATGAAATACAAATCTTTTAAAGTATATTTATATTTGTTCTTTTGTGGAAAATTGTTAATTGCTTAGTTACTCACCTGATAGAGCAACCCAAGTAATTAGCAATATTGTTTGTGTTTTCTTCTCTTGATTCCAGACCCAGTGTGAGATGGCACCGATGTTAAAAAAAAATACTGAAGAAAGAAATAACAAGAAATATTCTCAAGGAAGTAATACTAAGACTGATGCTGAATTTAAAAAGCTATTTGGTCTTACTAAAGAATTGAGAGTGTGTCTTACTCGGATCCCTGACTGTCTGGGCTCTATAAAAGGTTGTGATTCCTTTAGCAGTTTAATGAAGAATAATAGTTCTTACAAAGATGCGGAGTTTGTGGTGAAGGAAGAAGAAACAAAACAGGTAATAGTTTTCTTAAGTGTATGACATTTTTGTAGGTATGACAAAGTTATATAGTTATGTTTATCTTCTCATGTGGTTTTTAATATACATTAGATGGATTTTTTATCAAAATATCTCACACTAACCAATAACAAAAATAATACAGATAAAAATATATCCCTAGTTAATTTGAGTTCTAAGTATTTTTAGTCACCTTGTTTTTTTTCCTTTTGTCATGTAAGAAAATAGTCTGGAGAGTTGGCTCAGCAGTTAAGAACACTTGTTGCTCTTTCAGAGGTCCCTGATTCAATTGCCAGCACCCACATGGTGGTTTCACAACCATCTGTAACTCTGATGGCAAGGGAATCAGACACCCTGGGCAACAGGTACATATATGCTACACATGCAGCAGGTCAAAAACTCAGAAATTAATAAAATGAATATTTTTAAAAAGGAAAATAGTCAAAAGCATTTCAACTAGTTATCCTATTTTTAAAGAATCACTTAAATATAAGGGAAAATGTGAGCATGCTTATATTCATTGAAATATTAGCACTTAATAAATTTTAAGCAGCATATATAGACAGTAATGCATTATACTATAGTCATGCTTACAAACATTACAATCCACTATTCTGAACTTCATCTATTCTTTTCAGTGATAGCTCAGTTGGCTTCTACTAAACCGGCTTAACAAGAAAATGTAAATACACTAGCTTGTTTTCTAGGACTATAATTGTGACTTTTCATTTTGGTACCACATAGTAGGATCCAATTTTTACTATAGTTATCCCCAATAAAAATTTGTGAAATCAATTTTAATTTTAATTGCTATTATTTGTCTGCTTACTTTGATTTGAGAGCATGTGGAGTAGAATAATATTATTTTTTGTCTTACCATTGCAACAGAGTTTTTCTAAGAAAAGAAAAGCAAAATCCATTAAGAAGATGGATTACACAAAAAGGAGAAAAATTAAGAAAGCTAGTAACACAGTCATGAATGGAACCGATGCTTCCAGTTCCCAACTTCTTAGTATTTTACCAACATCAGATAATCCGCAACACAACATTGTCGCAAGCCATAGCACAACCAGGGAAGACAAGAGAACTGAGGTAGAAAACTGCTCCCATGAGAAGCAAGACAAAAGCATATTAAGTTCAAGTGCATCTTTTGGACAAAGTAATTGTTTCAGTAAAAGCTATATGGAAGATATTTTTCTATTGCCACCACCAGAATTAGAAGAAACCATCAGAGATGAAAAAATAAGAAGACTTAAGCAGATTGTAAGAGAGAAAGAAGCAGCTCTTGAAGAAATGCGTAAGAAGATGCACCAAAAACAATAAAATGTCTAGGATTTAATGACTTGTACTACTACAGTAGTTCCCTCTTACCTTCTGGGGATACTGTTAAGACCTCTCCCTCCCCCTCCCCCTCCCCCGCCCCCCCCAATGGATGCCCAAACTGGAGATGATACCAAATTCTGTATACAACCGCTATAAAATCTTGATCTTTATTCTGATAACATCTACTTTAGATAATAACAAGCAAGTAATTAGGATATGCAATGTGGATACACTTAATGAAGAGGATAATTGATGTCCTGAACAGGACACTGAAATTTTTTGTCATGTTACTCTGAATGGTATATAATTTAAAAGTTATAAATTCCTCCTTTCTGGAGTTTCTCATCGATATTTTGGACAGCAGTTATCATGGGCATCAGAAAACAGAAGAGCCAACTGTAGATTACAAGGGATTACTGTTATTTATAAAGGCACTCTGAAAGCGTTTTTTGTATATAAAATGTAAGGAGTACAGAAAAGGCTGAGTCATATGACTCATCAATATTATACATGACATATTTTGACTTACTTGTTTTGGAAGAAAGTTTTTGGTATTTTTCTGTGAAATGAAATTCCCCAAATTTGAATATTTTGTACAAAGTTTCTGTTAATGTTATATCTTCAACTAAATTTCTCAGGTCTTACACTAACAATAAATATTGTGTACTAAAAGTCTACAATCCAAGATAGACAGCTGTAAACTTAACTTTACCATTGAGTTTCTATGTGTACTGTCTTGATCTTCTTACCTATAAAAAAATGATACAACCTATTCACTGTTGTTGCTGTTTTTTTCCATCAAGAAAATATTAAAATCTATTTACTCAAATATTCTTCAACACGAAGGGTCATGTTTTCTGCATGTCTGCATTACATATTACAAAAAGTTTGAAATTGAAGCTATTTAATGATACTTTATTTTTTGCTTACAAACTTTGTCTTATGAAGCTGGAGAGGTGATTCAACAGTTAAGAGCACTTGCTATTTTTCATAGGATCCAAATTTAGTTCTCAGCCCCCATGTCAGGTGGTTCATAAGAACCTTTAACCAGAGCTCCAAAGGACCAGCACCACCTTCTGACCTCCAGCACCTATATACATATGTCATACATTCAACATATACACATACACATAAAACTATATTTTTTAATTATATGTTACCTTAAAGCAGCTTTTTGATATGTGTACATATATATATATATGCATATATATATTGCATATATATATATATCATAGATTATCTGAAAGGTAGATTCATTCCTTAGTCACATGTAACTTAGTTGCTTTTCAAACTATAGTTTTTCTCTTAGAAGCATCCAATTTTTTGAGTTTATTTTCGATTTGGGAAAGTTTGAAAGTAAGTATAAGTGAATGGATGAAGAATTTTTAAAAAGCGGTGTTAGACAGTTTTTTATAAATCAACAAAGTTTTGGAAATAAGACCTCAAAACTGTAAAGACAAAGAACCATAAACAAGTTTTAAATAGGAGTAAAACAATATGTCAATTAGATTCTGCTGCTTTTTGTACTAATAGTTTTATTGAAGTAAAATATGCATGTCATAAAATTTGTTCTTATACCCAGAAGGGTGAAAGCACCAATAATTCCAGAACACTGTACCACATATAAATTCTGTAACCATTACCAGTTACCTCATTCTTTATTTTCACCTATGCAACACCCATCTTCAATAGAAATTGCTATTTGTGAACATTTCATCTACATGGAATCATAAAATACATTTTATGTTGTAACTTTTTCACTTGGCCAAATATATGCATATTCAAGTATATTCATATTCTAACATTAATATTTGTTATTGCCCATCAGTTCCATTGTATTTTTACCTGGAAGATTTGTTCCCAAATAATGAAAGGATATAAAAATCCATGTATGTCTAAGTCTTATACATAAAATGGCATAACTTTTACATATAATCTCATCACAACCACTTCTGTATCTTAAATATTTCTAGATAAACAACGTGATAATGTAGATTGTAGTGTATTTAATCGCTTTATTTAGGGAGTAAGAAGGTGTCTTAATGTAGATATTTTCCAACATTTCTAACATATGGCTGATTGTAAAATTTGCCTATAAAACTGGATTAGATTTTGTTCATCCACCTTATATGCATATGTGGGAAGCCACGCTGGCTTCGTCAGGCTTTGCCACATCAGCTTGTTTATTGCTTTTGTATCCTAATCGTCAGCACATGAGCATATGATGTTATCCTAATATGACTGCTCACCTATCCCTATTGGGTGATGCATAATCGTCCGATGAGACCTAAGCCAATCAGATGACGTTGCACATCCACATCATCACGAGTATATAAGCTTGGCGCTCGTAGGGGTCGGGGTCCTCTCTTTCAGCTTGGAGCTCCAATAAAGTGTGCTTGAGAAGAATCCTGTTGTTCTTCCTGCTGGCGGGACGAGCGCAAGAAGTGGTGCCGAAACCCGGGAAATTTCAACAAATGGCCAGTCGAGAGAACCCCCTGAGGATACTTCTGAGGGAGGGTTCAGAACTCAACACGTGGAGCGGCGGTACCGGTAACTGGTCTGTAAGTCTGATGTAGATAAGCCAGCTGATCGCCCCAAACGTAGGTCAACCATATATAAGGTCGCAGAATGGGACACCACCACTCCACTTTTTTGGAGCCACTACAGGAATTATTAAAACAACGAAAACTTAAGATATCAGATAAGACTATTAAGGGGTTCTTGGAAGAGGTGGATGTGATAGCGCCTTGGTTTGAGCCGACTGGGGGATTAAATTTGGCCTGCTGGGATAAACTAGGCAGAGACATTGACCGTGAGGCAGAAACGCGAAAGTTGCGTGCAGGCACACAGCTTGGTGCGATCATGTTTGGAGGACAAACGTGAAGAGGTGATGAGGGAAGGCCAATGCATATTAGCACATCAAGATAGTATGTCAGAGTCTGAAGAAAATAAAGGGAAAACAAAAAGTTAAAATTAAAAGAGAACCTAGGTTTCAGACAGAACAGAATAAACGTGAAACAAAAAAGGGAGGGCCAATTTCAGGTCCGAAGCTATATCCAGATTTGGCAGAACTTGCAAATTTGTATATAGAAAGTTCTAGTGAATCTGAAGAGAAGAATTAACCCCAGAGGAAGAACAGGATCTTGAGGAAGCAGCGGCCGAATACGGTCGGGAACGTTATGGACCCGGAGAAGTTGGTGTCGTTGCTCCTCGCCATCTTATGCCTCTATGAACAGGCGGTGTAAGCAAGGTGGCATACTTCTGCCTGGGGCGTGTGCTTCATCTGGGTGTAGTCTAGTGAGACCCGGCACTTGGAGCAAATTAATGAGTGCCTATCCTGTGTTTGAGGATCAACAGATAAATAATAGATATCATGAGCCTGTAGGATACAAGCAGATCAAAGATCTTGCAGAGGCCACTAGAACTTATGGAGTGAGTGCCTCTTTCACTCTGGCGCTGGTGGAGCGTTTAACACATTCCATTATGACGCCAACAGATTGGATGGGAGTTGCCAAAGCATGTCTAAGTATGGGACAATATTTAGACTGGAAATCTATCTACAATGATGGAGCACAGAATCAGGCTAGGACCAATACTGCTAATGGACAGCCTGATTGGAATGCAGATATGCTTTTAGGACAGGGACAATGGGTTAATAATCAAATTGCATATCCTCTTGAAGTTTATAGACAGATAAATGACATTGCTCTTAAAACATGGAAGACACTTCCCAATAAAGGAGAAGTGTCAGGCAACCTGACAGAGATTATTCAAGGAGCCACTGAACAGTTTTCAGATTTTGTGGCTCGTATGATAGAGGCAGCAGGCAGGATTTTTGGGGATGCAGAATGAGCTATGCCATTAATAGAACAATTGGTTTATGAACAATGTACCAAAGATTGCAGGAGGACAATCATGCCCTGGAAAGGGAATGGACTTGAGGCATGGATGAAAGCCTGTAGGGAAGTTGGTGGGCCTCTAATACAGGCCTAGCTGCAGCAGTGTTAACTGCCGCTAGAGCAAACAAGGGAACCTCATCTTGTTTCTGGTGTGGAAGGACAGGCCATTTTAGGAAACAATGCCCTCAAAAATAATACTAAAGTGCAGGGTCAGGTGTGCTTGCCTGGCTTATGCCCTAAGTGTAAAAAGGGAAAACATTGGGCGAAAGAGTGTCGCTCTGTAAAGGATATTAATGGACAACCAATTAACCAGTCAACAGCCAATACAAAAAATGGGGTCAGGGGCCCCCGACCTCAGGGCCCTCAAATATATGGGGCATTACAGAAGCCCTCGCTGCGCCACCCATCACAGTGAGGAGAGCCACTCCAGGTTCCGCAGGACTGGACATCTGTGCCACCACCAAACTCATATTAACACCACTGAAGGGAGTGCAACCTGTGGAGTCAGATTTTCAAGGCCCGTTACCCTCTAATACTGTAGGTTTACTGCTTGGTAGATCTTCCTCAGCACCATGAGGATTGACTGTTACTCCAGGAGTCATAGATTCTGACTATACAGGCACAGTAAAAGTGCTTTGCTCATCCCAGAAAGGAATTGTTGCCATCTTACCTGGGGATAGGATAGCCCAGTTACTAGTTATCCCTAGCCTTCATGAGCAGTTTCCTTCTTGTTGGAAAACAAGAAGGAACAAAGGACTTGGCTCTACAGGAGTTGATTTGACATACCTATCCATGGAATTAGATGAGAGGCCAATTCTACAGCTTACAATTGAGGGGAAACATTTTCAGGGATCGCTGGACACGGGAGCTGACTGCAGTATTATTGCAGCTAAGTATTGGCCCAAGAACTGGCCCAAACAATCATCTTCACAAACCTTACAAGGTTTGGGGTATGCTCAAGCTCCAGATATTAGCTCTCGGGAACTTACCTGGTCTAGCGCTGAGGGACAAAAAGGAAAAGTTATCGCTTATATAGTAAATATTCCTTTTACATTATGGGGAAGAGATATTCTGGCACAAATGAATTTAAAATTAACTGATGAGTATTCTCCTCAGAGTCAGTCTATAATGAAAATGGTGGGTCATATACCAGGTAGAGGACTAGTTAAAAAATTGCAGGGGCAGGTAGATTCTCTTGTAGCCTCAGGTAATCCAGGCACACGAGGGTTGGGTTTTTCATAGGGGCCACTGAGGATGCGATCCCCATTCCTCGGAATACGGCTGAACCGGTTTGAGTACCTCAGTGGCCCCTTTCCCTAGAAAAGCTCATAGCAGCAAAAGAACTAGTAAAGGAGCAATTGTCATTAAGCCACTTAGAAGCCTCTCAATCCCCCTGGAATACTCCCATTTTTGTTATTAAAAAGAAGTCAGGAAAATGGCAGCTACTCCATGATCTCAGAGCCGTAAATGCACAAATGCCCGTCTATTCAGAGAGGTCTCCCTTTGTTATCTAGCTTGCCGGATGGCTGGCCTCTTATTATTATTGACATCAAGGATTGTTTCTTTTCCATTCCTTTGGCCTTAGAGGATTATAAAAGATTCGTTTTTACCCTATCACCTGTCAATCATGAGGAGCCTGATCAGAGATTTCAATGGAGGGTCCTCCTGCAGGGGATGGCCAATAGTCCTACTATCTGCCAGCATTATGTAAACCTAGCAATAGCACCTACTAGGAAGAGATTCCTGAAACTGAGGATTTGCCACTATATGGACGATATCCTATTAGTGGCTCCCATGGCATTTCTGTCACAGGCATTTCTATCCCTCAAGAAGGATCTTGAAGCCTATGGTTTACATATAGCTAGTGAAAAAGTACAGGAAGGAGAGGTAGGTAATTTCCTAGGAGCAACAATTAATAAACA